CATCTGATACCAAACAATTCTTTCATCTACCTTGCATGCATATAAAGATGCTGGAGTTAGATGCTGAAGTCTGCAGAATTAAAACTGTAAATTAGGTGCACATTCTCAACAGGAACGATATTTACTTATTGGGAGAGATGGCCAAAGAATATGCTAAATTTTCTATCATTTGAAATCTTTAAAACCAGATAGAATGCCTTTCTACAGAATGTGTTATAGTACTATCATTACTTTCTGGGTTAGCTGCAGAAAATCATTTGGTTGAATTTTATGGCCTTGGTTAAGCAGAAGATCAAACAGAGTGATCATACTCTGTTCAGGCTTAAAAATATATGAAACAGGAGAATAGGTATAATTCTATAGCAACACTAATCATAGTAGTTGAAGCTGTAGCCTCACTGAAGTCTATGAGAAAGCTGCCATTCCTTGTAATGAAACAAAGATTCAACCTATAATTACAAAATCTTTGATATATTCATCACATTTAAGCTTAGGGCTATACGCAGATTGCTTTGCTCTACTTCACCTATTTTATTTTATTGCTGTTGTGTTTAACATTTTATTTTGTATTTCGGCTTAGTTTTGAATTAACTTTGTATGACATATTATTTAAGCATCTAAACATTTGCAAATGTTACTTCTATAGAGTTCAAAATGGCAATAAAAAATGCACTTGCGAAAAACTCTGTTTCTTCTAGATGTTAGTTGGATCAAGGGGAAATCTTTCAATGATTTCATTTTTAACAGGAGCTGATTATTTCCACTGCTTATCTTTGATGGTTCTGGAAAAAAAAGGCCCATGCAAATGATTTTTTCTGGACTTTACTTATGAGCAGGTGAAAATTTCCAGAAAGCCTCAAACTCATATTGATTGTGAATGGACTTGGTATTGTGACTATGGTCTCCTGAGCATGGGCATGGGCTACTGCTAGTTGTCCTGAAACTATATGGGTGAGCTTGGGAAAGCAGAGTCCTGTGGAAATCACTATGCTCTTAAGTCTTTTCAGGGGGAGACGCCTAACAGTTCACCAAGTTAAACACCATGTAAAAACTTTGTAGAAAGACAGGTCTCAGGTGAGTCTGGAACTTGTCTATCTGTGTCCCCAAGATGAGAATACACTTTGTTTCCCTGTGAAGAGAGTAATTTCCCTGTGAACAAAATGGAGTTGGTAGAAGAACACTACCTTGTAAAGTGGGTTTCAGTCCAGAGATTGCTTGATTTCAGAAGCATTTTTTAATAAGGGAGCTATTTATAAAGGGATCTCTTCCTTACTCTATGTGTCTAGAAAATTTAAACTAAGAATCTGGGTTCAGGAGAAGAAAAATGCATTAGTATGAGCAACTGACTTCAAAAACATTCTGATGTTACAACTGTGAAACAGATTTGACTGGATTCATCCAATTCAGACATATTGTCATTGCTTTGAAATTGCTTTCATTTAAGCTTTATGAAGTGCTCTGGGTGGTACTTCTGCAGAAACTGTTGAGCTAAAGGACATTGGAAGCTGTGATTCACAATCCAATTCTAGAAACGGCTTTAAAGGAAGTATGAAAAACTGGAGGCTTGCTGACCTTGTACAAGAACACCTAAGGAAGCTGAGAGGCCCACATCTAAGTGTGTTGACTTTGTTCTGTTGAAAATTAAAGCACATCACATTTTTATTTTTGTAAAATGCTGATATGGGTTTTGTGCAATGGTATAGAAACAGAAACAGAAATAGCAAAGGAAGGCAGAACAAGATAGCTTGTGATCCAGACTCCATCCTTATTTTACTACGGGGACTTGTACAGGAGCAGGAGGAGCAAATCTTGCACTAAGTATGTAACTGTCACCGTTCTTTAAGGCGTTAACTTGAATGGTAGTCCTTCCATTTGCTTCAGTGGATTTTAGATCAGACTCTCTTCTAGGGATATTTTTATCCTTGGCTTTCTTAAAAGAATATTTTATTGATGTGGGAATAGTTTTAATCAGCCATGAAAACTTGGTAAAGCGTGCTGTTTTTTATGATATGGAAAATACCCTGCTGAAGCATGCAACCTTTTAATGAAGTCAAACCAAATAAAACTTGCCCTACATGACCTAAAGCACAGCTCTTGAAATGTCATTTACTAGGATAATACATTCCCATCTGCCAGATTGTATTTTTTTTTTTTTTATCCACAGGTGAACTAATACAGCCTTGGAGGTGTGCCACAGCTACTAGTATTTGGTATTTCAAAAGAGGTGAGAGAGAGGAAATCTAACTAGCAAATTTTTGCCCCTCTCACTGAAACATCAGAAGATAAGATACTTGTTTCTGAATTAACATCATTTTGTTTTCCTGGAGCCTAAAGCAACTGTATATCCTTAATCTTATCCTTGAGAAACTACTGATCTCACACATGGGAGCTTGTTATTTAATGTAGAACTAATTACTGAGTTGCCTGCAGTCAGTGAACAAAAAAAATCTGAACTACAACACCTTTCAACGGTCCTTGCTTTCAACAGTCTTTGGTCTTGACTTAGCATGTTAGGAATAGGGATATATTTCTAAGGAAAATAATTCATACCAAATATTTGTTCTTGAGATTATGTTGCAGTATTGTGAATAAATTAGGAATTTTAATATATTTTTATATTTATTTTAAACCCTGACTCAAGTTCTGGTTGATTGGACAGACTTTATGCAGGCAGTCAATTGTCTCCTGTCCTACAACACTGGTGAGGTCTCACAGAGTCCCCATAATGAATTTTTTACTGCATTTCAGAAGTGAAACACCTGAGAATTGTGATAAACCTCAGATTCACACAGTTCATATGGTAGCAATTTATTGCCTGACTGCAGATTTTTTAAATCTCTCTGGCACTACAGGGTTATTACAGTAAGTTAGAGAGACAGGTATTCTAGGTATGAGCTAGCTCTTAACACCACAGAAATACTGAGTGCTCTTGAACAGAAGCTTTGATGAGAATTAAACCCTTCTTGTGACATTTTTATGCCACGTGGAGATGTGGAAGTGCAAGCAACAGCACCTGGCAAGCAAGCTGTCTTACTTAAAAGCAAGCAAACCAGATGCTCATCAGGTTGGAGAAAAAGTTAGTAGGAAATAAAAGTCTATACAAATGTTCATTACTCAGATGTTCAAGAGGAAACTCATACTTTATGAGTTGTCCTCTGATACTGAGTAAAATTATATTTCTAACATATCAGCTGTTTCTTCAAACATCACAAAGTGTTTACTTTTGAAAGCAGGACTAAATTTCAAGCAAACAATCTACAGAACAGATCCATCCCTGTTCCTCTCAGCTCTCCTATTTACAAAATACAACCATGTAAGTTACAAAATCAACTTCCTCTTGGAGAATAGAAAGCATTTCATAGAAATCCTTTTTTTTTTTTTTCCCTTGGTACAGCAATAGTAGGACTTAAGGATTTTCCTCACCTATCTACTTTTACCCTTGTATGTACATCAGAGACCTTCTAGTTTAATAAGCCTAAAATGCATGCTTTCTGTCTACCTAAACTAGTTGTGTTCTGAATGAAGCAATTTTTACCCTCTCTGAGAAACACTAACCCAAAAGCCTCTGGCTTTTCAATGCCCTAGATAGGCAGCTGACTCTGGTACCTTCCCAACACGGGAGGAAAAAAAAAAAGAGAAAAAAAAAGTCTGTCACTGAGTGTTGGTAAGTTGACACAAGACTGTTGGTATTTTCCAACTGGGTGAGATATCCGACCTAATCCCTTTGACAAATAATTTATGCAGTTAACAGCTGTCTAAATATGCCACATATGAGCCTATAGGACTCATATGAGAGAAGTATGTCCAAATGTTACATAGAAAATGCATATATCAAAATACAATACCCTTCCTGCCAGAAGGCATGAATCGCCTATCTATATATTTTTAAGAATTTTTGAAAACATTTTCAGACATTTTGAAAACTTAATTCTGAAATCTGAAATTCTCAGTTAGACACTGTAATCCATGGATAAAGTTTCCTTTTGGAAGGAAAAAACAACTGCCTGGCATCCATTTTAGTCTTGAAGTAGGTAATACTGTGACAGATACTATCCTTAACCTTTTGGCTTTTTTCCCAAGGACATTTCTGCTTTTTATACTTCGTTTGTTATTGGGTTTGGTTTGCTTCTTATGACCAGATCCAGATCAATCCATCCAAATCCACCTGTCTCTCTCACCAACAAAACTCACTCACATGCTGCCACAATCTCCATGTTTGCAGACGTGACAAACAGGGAACAGAAACAGAGCACTGAAGTGATCGCAGAGAGATGCTGTCTGGAAACACTGATTGCTTCTTGCAGAGACCCTCTTCATCACATAGATAGTATTATGTTATTTCAAAGGTTTGTAAACTGAGATAGAGAGATGGAGTTTCTGCCAGTGCTGTACTAAAAACGAAGTAGGACAGAACTGTCTTCCTTCAGAAGTACTCCTTCTCTTAAGCCTCCTGTCACACAAACACTTAAGCATCTGCTCATCTTAGCAGGCTTGAGCAGCAATTCTAATTTCTTCTAATTATGCTGGACTGCAGGGTAGATTCAAATTTGAAGATATGCTATTTGCAGACTCCAGACCTGCAGCATGGCAGTTAGTTGTCTATACACTGGGGTCTAGGGCCATTTAAGATGCTGTAGGGTATCCCAGCTGCTGCTCCAGCGACGGCAGCTGAGCCTAAGTAAGTCCCTTGTCATCTACCTCTACCAGCCCACATGTCTCTGATGCCCTGAGGCATCTACAACAGCACCTGTGTTAGTCCTGGCTTCCACCTCAGCTCTGGTCACACAAGACTGAAGTTTTCAGAACAAGGCAGCCTGAAAGCACAGGGAGAGACGACAGCCTGTACTAGGAATATGATCTGCAAGCAGCATCCCAGCTATCTTCTTGCTTCTAAAACTGCACTGATCCCTTCAGGGGAAGAAGGTCATCAAAATACAAGGCACTGCAAGCTGCTACTAATAACACAGGTGGCACCAGAAAAGCCCTGGGTATCCGCTTACCTGGAGCACTATGTCCCTTCCATTCCGCGTGATGTTAACAGTGTGAGGCTGCCCGTTCGCCATGTTTCTGTGGTCAACATCAATGTTATATGGGTCTTTGGTGCCTCCTAGGCTGTACCGAATTTGTAAAGTCCCTAGTGAAAGAAATGTGAAAAGTACCCTTAGGATAACTGCATCTTTTTTTTAACAGATATCTTCCCTCTTGATTTTCACATACGGCTGCTATTGTTCTATATTTAAATCAACCTTGGATGTGGCCTCTGCAATAGGAGAATTTAGTGAAGAAGAGATTTGTGTGAGAAGTTTCGTCTAAGAAGTTACACGTTTTAGTACATCCAGAAGCACTGAGTGGTTGAGATTATTACTCTTGCTTCAACAAAATTCTTCAAAATTAAAAGTGACACAAGACATGAGCTTTTTTAAACTATTGGTAAGTATACAATAAAGTTAGAATTACAACAAATTAGCAGTGACATTACAATCCACACATGAGATTTTCTTCCTGTCAAAACTAATTGTTTTTGATGGGTGATTGTCTGGATTTTTATAGAAATGTGATAATATACAATGAAAAGAAAATCACAGCTTATATTGTTAGAGAAGTTTAGTCAGAAGTGGCTAACCAATATTCATGACAGTCTTTCAGGCATTTGTTTTTATAAACAAAACTGTGTCTGTTTTCCCAAAGTGTCTGTTTTTCATAGCAAAATTCAATATTGCCTTTAAAGCACACTTTTTGAAATGAGAAATGCAAACCCAGTTATTGTTCAAAATCTGGAATACTCTGACCAAAAGACACTCCAAGACCTGTAAAATTGTAGTTTGGATGTCTGATGTGGAATTTCTTTCATATACCCCCTTTCTCTCCCATGAAGGGAGACCATTATGTGGCATGAGGAATACTCACACTAGCCTGTCCCATAGAACACAGTGGGAGTGGAAATTATCTAAACTTTGATTTTCATGAGACAGTAACTCACCATTTGGAATTTTGGGGTTTTGATGCTCAGAAAGCCAAAAACAACCTTCAGTCATCATGACCATTTGGGGATCTTAAACACAATGCCACCCCAATATTTTGAACATCTCATTAATTAGGCAGAGTTTTGGAAGAGCTAAACACTGAACACTTCCCACTGATTACTGTGATATTGCCACAAGACCTGTAATTTTGAACTATTTATTTCAGATGCCTCTCTATATATATACACCCACTTGTTCTCTCCATAGTACTAGTTCATTCTGTGGATCTGATTACTACACCAGAATTTCTGTTTTGTCAACTGCACTGAACTGAATGGTTCAAAAAATGCAGTAAAACAGAATGCATTTTTGCTTTCACATCTCCAGGGTGAAGAGATTTTCTCTTTAGCCCATAGCTTTGCTGAATGTTATTACCAGCAAAGCCTTTAACAGAAAAAGTCCAGAGCAGTAGCTTACCAGATGGCTTGACAAGCACTGCCATGTAGTCCTGGGTGTAGGAGCTGACGTACAGTAGGACACAAGGGGACTTGGTGGTGCTGAAGCTGAAGCTGAGCTCTTCCTTATTCAAGCTGAGATCTGGCACTGTGGTCTCATGGTCTGCAGAACTCAATAGTGTCCGGCTAACTAAGTCTTTCATGCTGGTCCCTGGGGAGTGGAAGTTGTAACGAAGCCATATTCCCTCTTCAAAAAATGCCCCAACATCTTCAAAATAAAGAGAGAAAAAAAAATAGAAATTGAACTTGCTTGAATGTCTTCTGGATAAAACATATTACTACTGGACTTGAGCAGTACTAATCTGTATGTGTTTCTACTGCTACATTATTCAAGTATTTTGCTAATACTTAGGTCTGGAGCCTCACAATTTTTCCAGGGAGGATGAAAAGCAGTATCTCCATTTTATTGATGGGTAACTGAATCCATAGAGCAATGGAGAGAGCTCCCTTTGGGTCACACAGAAATCTCCCCTTTTGTCTTATACCGACATGGCAGACTATAAATCAGTGCTTTCTTTGTTGTCTTCTGTGAAAAATTTGAGATAGGACTGGATGCAACACTAAAAAATTATCCATTGCTAGTACAACACTTCAAGTGACTTGCATAAAAGTCGGATGGCTTTTCAGAGGTAAACAGGGAGGTTGACTCATGGTGGAAAATAAGGCAAGCAATAGCTCAACTATAACTCCCTAGAGCTGTTAAAGAGTCTAAATTTTTCAAGTCATTCTGAGATAAAATGTCATGTTTCAATACTCTTGATGGAAAATAAAACAACTTTTGACAGAATTAATACTTTCAATCGAAAAAGCATTGCTATTACTTCTAATAATGCAGTCCTTCCTACTTCCTAACATTGAACACATAATACAAAATTGATTTTCTTGCAGTGAAAGGTGACTGTTACATCTTCCTAAGGCCATCACAAACAAAGCTGCACACCATTAGTGGCATACGGCCTTCTAAGCGATCAGTGGCCTGCTTTTCCTAAGACAGTAATTATTTAGTAATACTGGAATGCTGTATAGGCTTTTCTTTCATTAAAGAAAATTTTAAATTACATGTGAGTGTAAATAAGAAGGCATGTTTAAAGAATATTTCATAATCCAGAACAATGAATAAATAGTACGAATATAGCAAGTCAGTAATATCTATAAAATGGTTATAACCAATGTTCCTAGAGTCGACAATCATTTTAAAAAAAATCCTTTGTCATTTAGTACCTCCTTATAAGTGATTTATAAATGCAAAGCCAACACAGACTACTACCAAATTATTCATCTAAACCTGAAAAGACATCACATGGTCTTTATTAGAACAGAAATCTCATTTTTGCTCCTTCTGCATTGTGGTTCTTCATGTGCCTTACACAATTCTGAGAAAGGGTTCCTCACAAATCATATGAAGCAAAATGTTGATTTTATGATCTGTATAGTAATACAGGCAAGTCAGAAACGAGTCTTCAGACTTTATTCAGAGTTGTCGGGCAGACAAAATATAAGAAGATCGGTAGTATTATCATAGACTTTACTGATGCTCCTTTTCAGAATTTTGCCAACTCTAGTGTTGGAAAATTTGTATGGTTTCCTGTTACAGAAAAGTTCTCCAAAACTCAAAATATAATAGTCATTGTCACTGCACAGCCACATAAAATAACTACTCGTGTTGTAGACCCAGGGTTCGATAAATAATTTGATCGTTCTGATAGATTTATCACTGTCATTTTATAGGAGGTATCTTAAATCACCTTGAAAGAGTTATGGGACAGGTAATTCAGTTTAACAGCTGTATTTTGCAGTAGACCCACTTCAGTATTCCTGGATTAAAAGTTAAGGGTTCTCTCCTGAAAATATTTCTTCAAAACTTTGATGCTTTCTGCTATTAGGAGCAGCGTTGAAGGTAAGCAGTAACACTAAAAAAGGCAGCTCTAAATATTTGCAAGATTGGCTTAAAAATATTTATGACCATTAACAACTTCTTCTTCAACCTCTGCTTATAGCTTTATTTTGAAAAAAAAAAAAAAAAAAACAGACACATAAAAGCAGATGCTCTGGCAGATATAGTATAGTATAGTGTTGCTGAACCAGTAGAGGAGGTCCAGGAAGTGCCTGACACTGCAGGCCACTTATGACCAAAGCCAAATTACATTTGAATCCTTCCCCCTCCAGCTTATTCTCTGTGCCTTGCATTTTAGGAAGCGATCTATGGGACTGATGGCTGTTACACTCGCTCATTGCCTCTCATGCTGAAACTACTGGAAATTTCAGCGCCAACCTGAGCTCTGCTCTGGGGCTGAGTGAGTAAGAGTGGGACACATTTCCCACAGCTATAGATGTTATTAATCGCTACTTAAATGTTTCTTACTACAAAGAAAGCTTTAAGTAAATAGCCCTGTCTGAAGTAGTGAGATTTGTTTTTTTTCCATAAAGATTTCACAGCAGAGCAAAGAATGTTCTATAAGTTTAACTTGATTTATGTCAAGAAAGTAATTTCCGGAAGAGCTGTGCTATTACAAGTGTACAAGCTATTGCAATGAGCCTTAAAATCTTCCTCATGTGTGCTTCACTTCTTTTAAGAACAAGGACACAGTTCACTTTGGTTGGGTGAATATATGAGGCTTTCATCAGCAAGATACTGAATCCCCTCAAGTTTCAGCTCAGCAAAGTTGTTAAGTTCATGCTTAACTTCCTCCTGGAGCAGGACTATATGGTATTCAGCAGCACACAAAGAGTGGACTCTGGTAAATATTAGAAATATTAGAAAATTTTAGAAATAGCTAAAAGATAATCTTTTCTATTCTGAACTGAGGGGTGATCAGTGAAGAAATTACCCACTTGGAGGCCAAAAAATATCATCTTTGTGAAACTGCTAGATGGAATATCAAAATCCTTCATTCAGCAAACCATTCAAGCTGCTGAAAACATTTGTACAAAATGAATGCTAAAATGAAGCAGAAGTGCTGTTGCTGATATGAGGAGCAGGTTTCCACATACCACCCTCTGCTTTCTTTGGGAGTATTTCAAATAAGATATGTGAAGAGAAGAGATTAAGGAGATGAGGCATAGTAAAGGGTTCCTCTGCAAAGTGCGCTTTTGAGACAAAAGCCTTGAAGAAATGAATGTGAGGGTAGCAAATTTGTTTTCTTTGGATGGCAGCACATATTTCTAAACCAATATGCAGGGTGGTCATACTCTGTTGACAGCCTTTGCAAGTACAAAAAGGTTAGATTAGCTTTGTAGAGAAACCCAGAATAAGATTTGTGGATCATTAGAACAATTTTTGCAAGCAAGATATATCCCCAGTATGAACTGTACATATTTTACAAATCTATCTGGTTTCAATTTGATGAGTGATGAATCAAAAGCAGATCCAAAACTTAACATACACATAACAAAATGCACCTACAACTGAAAAAATCGATTTGGAGAGTTAGATTGCATCAGTCAGCTCTTCAATCTCCCTTTCCCACTCTGCTACTTTTATACACTCTCATTATGTCTTGGACTAGGAGTGTTGAATGGCTGGAGGAAAAAGTCAAATAGCAACAAAACCCACTTTTTCCAAAAACTCCACTGGAGGCAAAGTATAAGAAATTAAACAATACCATGACATTTCTGCAGGAGTGTTGTAGACTTAAGAAAATACAAGTAGGTGCCTGAATCTCCTTTGCTGCTGCTTGACATCAGCGAAATGTCAGTGTCTCTTCTCCTTGGGTAGCTATAATGACTCTGCTAGCCTGCACTCAGTCACATGCATAACTGATTTCTCCATTACTTTTTTTTTTTCACCTGTGAAAAACATTGCCAGGAGTGACAAGGCAGAGGTTTGGCTGAATGTGGTTTTGTAAAAATTTTCTGTCCGGAGACACACATAAAAGACGTAGAAGTCAGTGCTCTCTACTAGGACCGAATAGGCTCTGTGCTGTTAATGAGGAGAGGAAAAACTGCACCCTTCTGTTGTCGTGACACAGTACAGGATATGACTCCTAAAAAATAAAGAAGCAGTAGGTCTGTGGAGCTACAGGAAGAAGCCATTTCAACATAGCAACTTTTCAAGAACGGCACTTCAAAAGGTGGAATTTGTCTTCCGTGCTAGCATGGTCATCACTGTCTGACAATCATTCATTGTACATTTTTCCAAGCAAATTCAAGATCTGGCCTGTGTCTCCTTTCATCTGGGGAAGAAGGAAAACACAATGCTTGTTACTTCCAAGGTATTACTGTATTGGACAAATGAAGGCCTACAGGCTAGGCCTTCAAACCAGTCTCATTAATGGTAGATAACATTGTGCTGGGATAAAATCCCTCTCAGGAGTTGGTAACAAAATTCTGAAGACTGTGAGGCCTGGCCAGGACACAAATGAAAAGTGCAGCAGAGAAAGATTCTTTCTTCATTTCACAAATCTGACTGAAAGCATTGCTTAGGGCCTTTCTGGAGGCTCTGACCTTAGACATAGTTCGATATAGTGAATTAAAAATCCTACTCTTTGATCCTATGTACCTGTGCTTAATGCTCTGTTTTGCCTGCACAGAGTTCTGAACATAAACAGCAACAGCCTTCAAATCCTAACCAAGGACATTCACTGGAGGTATTCACACAGTGGATGCCTGTCCAGAGACTACTAGGGCAATTTAGACAGCCCAGGCAACAAAACCTCTGCCCCCATTCATCATTGTTCTTTTCTTTTTTGATTTCTTATATGGCCATAAATATTGAATATAGACTGGCTTGTCTGGCCTGTGCCTAAGAAATTTGCTGGAAATTGCAGCTACTTCCAGGATGTGGTCACAAAGATTCAGACTATTTGCTGAGATACATCCTGACCATAGGACATCAGTCAAGTGACAGAATCCCACAACTGCTGAGAATTTACTCAATTTATTTATTATTGAGTGATCTGAATACAGTAATGTATATTGCTTAGATGATCAACTCACTGAACATTTATTCTGCTCTCAAACTTACAATATTTAGTTTCTGAAACTGAGGAGTTATGATTTAAAGGTCTTGTGCATCATCAAGTCTATTACTTGGGCTGTCATCACTATAATAGTTTTTGATGCATGTTCCATTTTTGAGGTAGAGTAGAAGAGCAAAATGCAGTTGCTTGTTGAAACTAATAGCACCTGAACACGCTGAAGAACTGAACGCTTCAGAAGAACTGGATGAGTGCCATGGATAATGGGATTACACCGTATGAA